GTAGTACTACAGGATGAAATTGAATGTGTTGAAGAGCACTACGTACCGAGTCATCCTGTTTTGAATGTCGCCTACGATGCCAACGTGTTCCTTAGATGCCGACGCCGACACCTACCCCAAGGCCGAACTGAAGGAATCAAAGTGCCATTCAGGAATGAGCATCCACTACAAAATCAATGGAGGATCAATAGCTCAAGTAACTTACCCCTAAGCCTAGTCCACCCCCTCCGCCGTAGCCTCCACCATATCCTCCCCCGTAGCCTCCACCATAGCCTCCATCATAGCCTTCACCATAGCCTCCACCATAGCCTCCACCATAGCCCCCTCCATAGCCTCCACCGTACCCTCTGCCATAACCGCCATATGGTCCTCCGTAACCAGCACCGTATGCTCCCCCGTATCCCCCGCCATAGCCTCCATAGCCACCGAGATACTGTTGAAAAGAAGTTGGTTTGAGATTAGATCTTGTTAAAGAGCCACAACAACAAATAAACCACAGCCAAATCAGGTGCTTTCCCACTTACACCTCTATGAAGCCCATGAGTAGGAACGGCTGTAACCGGCTCAGTGCTGAGGATGGTTGCCACAACTGAGAGTAATCCAAATGTGAATTTCATATTTGCTGTCTTTGAGGGATTGAAATAAATATCCGCAGGCGATGTTCGGAAAGGATGGGATTGGAGGGGTTTGATCTGTTAATGGAGGCGAGCTGAAAGATTGAAGTGCTGGTTAAGGATAGAGGTGTTGGTGAATCTGAAGAGATTGTGTAGTTAGGAGGCAGGGAGTAGGAAGTGAAGGATGGGGAAAATGATTAGGTTGTTCCAGGAAGCGTCTTTTATATTGTGCACCCGGATGCTGAATCACTAGAAGAGCATGGGTAGATTGAGGAGGAGAGAGAGAGTATCGGACACCGAAAAGATTGGTTGGTCAAGAACTAGCCAGGACTTGGACCAACCAAGAACACTTTTAACCAGGTAGTCAGGTAGCTACATCGCTTGAAGGATATTATCCCGATCCCCGATTTGGATCTCCCCAATATATAACCAATCCGGTTCAGACTGAGGCTGGTCTGGCGGACTGTCATAAAGCCAAATGATTTATTAATAGACAAAATTGATGTCGGGCTGGAGTGGGCCGCCGACAAGGGGACACTGATATGGACCATCTTAACCGAAGCCGGGCGAGGAGATCGTCTTGGAAGCGCACCGAAGCCGAGAGGTTAGAGAGATTGCTGGCCCAAAGCTTGATCATGATCGCGGTCCTTGCTGATAGATTGAGCAAAGTGGAAGATCGTCAGATTTTTAACCATTGTAAGGGGTTGGTTGAGCTAGCTGCAATGACGAGGAAAAAATAAACTAGAAATGATGATCAGCTCGCAGTCATCTGGAAAGTGTGAAGTAAATAGGAATGTTGCCGGAACATCACTGAGCCGTTTGGCGGTGATGTGGAGGGAGGGCGCGAAGCAGGTTCGCCGTCACCACCATATCATATTCCGGAATAATTATTGGGACCTTTGAAGACGGGTCGAATTGGTTGAGGCGGTGAAAATTCTGGTGAATCCTCCTCCGGACTCCCAAGATGAGTCGAAGACATGTATGTTTAGAGGCGCGACGAAGAGGCCTTCTGGAAGTAATAATGAGACTTTCATGACAAGCCTTTGCAAAGTTCAATCTCAACATCACTCCAGGCGGTTTTAATTCAATTCACATCCGAACACGTAGGTCAAATGTGATGGCTCAAAGGACCTAGGCAAAGCACGTTGAACACGTGTATTTATTTTCATCTTGGACCGCATCATACTGCTGATGAAGATCAAAATTTACACTGCTAATTAGAAACTAGATAACAAGGATGATAGAAAGCAACGAAAAAAAAAGCCAGGACATACTGAACGAGAAGGGTGCAGTGATATGAACCCCTCCCGCTGATTGGAATCGCGTTCTTCGGCTTGAAGAAGTCGGAGCATTATCCTCTCTGTCGCCATAGACCTTGGCGAGATTGGACGTATCCGCTTCGCCGGTTTTGAGAGTACCGAATCTGTTCGATCGACGGGTTTCTGCAGTCTTGAGATTTTTTATCTTCGAGCCTTTTGTCCTTCGTTCCAAGTTCTTGTCTCTCTCCGCGACCGCAGCCGTCTGTCAGTAGATTCAAGGCGACAATTGTTATCTGTAGCTTTGAGACGGTCATCATGACATAGAAATGTATGTGCTCATTGATGAATGTGGGGATGCTTTGGAGAGACATCTAGAGATTCAGATCGATAATCATCGCACTGGACGAAGGTCGAAATCCTCTTTCCTGCTTCGGTATTCTCATTTGCCTCTTTGCATTCTCGTCTGGCTTCACATAACTCAAATATCATGGTATGGATGGCCTGATGCATATTTTCCCTTCCCTAATTTTGCCATAAAAAAGGTAAAGAAAAATATTATCAAGGTACTCAAGCTCATGATTGTCACAACATATATTTCTATCGGCTTGCTAACCTCTCAAGATACCCGAATCAGGTTACTAAAAAGGATTTGAATCTGGCACTACCTTACCATCTCATAAATTTCAAGAAAGAGGACTTGTGGTGAGCTCACTAACAGTAAATCCGCTGCATTGTTTTAACATATTACAAATTCTTTCATTTGATGTAGTCGTGTACATATTTACAAACAAAATAAACCACAGAACCAAATTCTTCCCTGATCTAATTTCTTTCCTTCTCTTTCTTCACATCTTTTCCATTTTCAAATCATGAAAAAAGGTTTATCAAGGGACACGTAACATTTAATTGACCAGCTGACTTACCAGCTCCCCTTCTGGGGGTGATAGTTGACTTGTTTTTGGAAGGACATAAGGGTTGAGATGGTTTAGAGGTGATCCGTTTACAGACAAGACATTGTTGGGCATGCTGGAAGAGGAGTATGTGTAAGGGATACTTGAGGTGATCAGGGACAGCCTGGTTGAGATGTTTGAAGGCGCTCTCCCTGGTTGCGGTGGGTCGGGGAGGCAGCCAGCCCAAGGCTTTGGTGATCCTAAAGACATGTCTGGATGTTTACATCACATGGCCAGTCCGACATATTTAAACACGTTTTGGGAACACAGTTCGAACATTTCAGCGGGCTTTTTCATCTCATGTTGAATAGTGGAAATCACAAACGTGTCGACCGGGAAAAAGTTCCTACCGAGACAGAACAGCAGGACGCAACTTGCAGTCTTAGCCCCGACGCCTTTGAAAGAAGCTAGCAAAAGAGAGATCGATAAGAGAGAGTGATTAGCAACCGTACTCGATGTTATACATCTGGAGATCGCAAAAATCTACATATCTACGCAACTCAAAGTTTCCATGGCCTCAGAATCAGGGAGGTAGCGAAGAAACTCGAGGCTCAAGTCGGGATTAAGGTTAAGATGTATATGATTAAGGAGGGCATGAATGGTCGTGGATTTTCGAGCGGCGAGACCGACGCGAGCGTCTTGAAGGACAGCAGTGATAGAGGAGACAGAAGCTCGCCGGATGGCGTGATAATTGCCCGTCCCGAAGTGTTGGTCGAGGGCTTGTTTGGCGCGGCTCGAGTTCGCCCTTGAGGTGTGTTGGCTCAGGATCGTCCGGACCAAGCCATCGAGCACCTCGCCTACCTCCCCACACTCCGTCGCAATCGTCCTTGAAGCGAGATCCTCAACTCCCTCGGCTTCCTCCGTCGCCCCCGCCAATCGCGCCGGCCGGACCGGCATTCCTCCGTGCACTTCTGCCAACAACGAACAGACCTGCTGACACTCGGAAATCGTTGGCTTGGTCGTAAACTCGTGTTGCCCGCTCGAACGCCCGGCCCCGACGGCCGGATTCTCACTCGTCTCGCTGCTAGCTGACCCACTCGCGTCGTGTTGCAGTGTCGCCGGATGCGCTCCATCGGAGTCATAATCTTTTGAAGCCATTGTTGGAGTGAAATCAAAACGACGGGATTGATCAGACGGAGAGATGGTTCCTTTTAATCCTGTCCGGCTGGAGTGAAAACCAACTTGTCAGTTTATAGCCATTGATACGTTTCCGTTTATACGTGCATACAAAGGACAATCTCTTTCTGGTATCCGTTCTTGCGCTTTGGTACACAGCTTACCTGAACTGCAATCCGAGCGGAATCAGATCATTAAGTCTATTTTGAACGGATCTTCGACCTTCTGTTTTGGATTCTTTCAATTTTTTATTTCCGTTTATGTGACCTGGATGTTAATGACAATCGACGTTGCGAGGATCAAATTTCAAAATGATGTAGACTCTTGACCTTCATCCTGTCGACTGCAATTACCTGATCATCAACATTGTTTCTCTCTCAAATGTGTTTTTTTTTGTCACAGCAGTGAGTAGCAGCGTGTTGCTAGGATGAGATGGTCTGCTTTCATCAAGAAAGAAACTTGATTAGACACCTGGCATTTCAATTTTTGACCCCAAACAAGCATGCAAGCTAAATTGTTGCACGCATATATTAAGCTTCTATACTTTCATTTGAACAACGACCAACAGTGAGGATAAGTCTCTTTTGTCTTCCCATTCCAATTTTTCCTACGGTAAAAAAATGTGTTTTGTACTTAAAAGCAAGAAAATATTACTTTTCGAAAAACAACTCATGCCTCATGCAGAATTCTACCAGATCATGGTCCAGGGAAAACTCAAGAAATTCAGCTCTTTGAACTAATGTGTTGGCATCACACACCACACTGTCCAAAGAGTGTCCATGTTGGAGTCTTCTATAAGGCGCTGATTGAAGGTTTAGTCGAGAATTGAGTGAAACTTGTTCGTCTTACAGCGAGAGGTGAGAAGCGAACTCGATATAGAATCCAGTGGACAGAACAAGGGCTAGAAGGTGTTGGGGATTGGAATATTCATATACAAACCTGAGTAGATGACATCATGGATGCAAATGGTGACTTTTTGGCGCTTGGTTTTCCGATCCTTGAACACATCATAAAGGCTTATTTTAGGGCATTTTCCAATTGCTCGACCTGCTTGGGTCAGTGTGCCATCGTCCAAAGCCCACACTGTATAACCTTTCTGTGTTTTTTTGGGACTGCTCATTCTTCATAGCCACCCCATCGGGGGTGGATGAGGTCGAGCTTAAGCCCAGAGATCCCGGACGTGAATGTCATCTGCAAGGTTTGATCCCGTTTTTATACCTTTGAGATCAGTAGGTGTGGCTGATCCAATGGTAACACCATCTTCAGAGAGCTGGTTGGCTAATCCACCGCGGGTGCAGTCGGGCAGCCCTGGGACACCCCTCGGACAACCCCAACACAATCAGGAGGGGCGCCCCACAGTCGTTCCGGCACATGCCAAAAAAGAAAGCCGGCCCCATGGGGCCGTTCGGCCCGGCCGTCCCGCTTCCATCCAAGACATGTGCCCAATGCCCATCCTAACCACACCCCTGCTAGGATGTCCACCCCCAACATCAGATAACACGGCGTCCCAGCCCGACGTCCAACGGGCACACCGTCCCTGCAGCGAGGCTTAACCTCTCCGAGGCGACCGACCTAGACCCGGCGGAGGAACGCCCCGGTCCCACCCGCCCCCGCTGTGGTAAACCACCTAAGTCTTCGTGTGTTCCATGGACGCTGGCTCTGGGGTGCACAGGGATTGTATCATTAACACCGGAACTTATGCCATGTGCGCCTGTGGCGGAGTACTAAGGAAGGAGACCACCCGGTTTGGGTGCGCTGACATGTATTTAACTGTAAGATGAAAGAGTGAGGATCAGAAGAAATGAAAATGGACAAAGTGAGCAGGCAAAGTGAGCGGAAAGAAAAGAAAAATACGATTTGAAGGAGTGTCTGTTTGAATCATTTTGGGATCCGCTTGATTCCGATCCCCCCCGTCTTAAGCATATACGTAGCCCACTGAGATGGGGCTTGCAAGTATGCTTGTGGCGGGGGTGGGCTCGATCGAAGAGGAAGAAGTTTCCAGGGGTTTTTTTTTTTTTGCTGGTCAGCCAACACACCAACCAAAGCAAAGGAGGAACCAACTGGAACCTATAAACTCAGACAACCGACCGAAGGGACCACAAAAACAAGGCAGAGAGATCGAGATATACCGAACCGAACGAGATGTCTTCAATCTGTCGAAACACGATACTCAAGGGGATTGCCAACAAGCCCGCCAGCAGGACATCCAGTCTACTTTCAGGCTCCCTCTCCTCTCGACTCGGTCGTAAGAACTCATCCTCGTCCTACTGAAAGACAACAAGCAACACCATCCCACTAATCACCATGAATGTTTTGTCCCCCTTTGTCTGATTCAAGTTCAATGTCGGGCCGTCTCCTCTTCTACCAGCTCCGGTCTATCGTGTGTCCAGTCAAGGTCTCGTTCGTCGAGAAACCCTAGATCGCTTCTCCCTATTCATTCCATTGGTAGGTTCTCAAAGGGAAAAAAAAAATCATTCTCAAATTTGTGATAAGTTTGGTAGATTTTTGTCGGGGTGTTCATCTTTTGTCTTTCAACCATCACAGCCAGTCGGTCATATGCGGCAGAAGCCTCGAAAAAATTCACGAGAAACAAGCCACACATGAACATGTAAGTCATTCATTTATCCCAATTTTTGATGTTAGTTAAGTACAACAGTTGGCGAGAGGGGGAGATCACTAATCATCAGATGACTTGTCCAAAAAAAAAAAAACCAAAAAGCGGGACGATCGGACATGTCGATCACGGAAAAACTACATTGACCGCCGCAATCACGAAATCTCTGGCAGCCCTCAACTCAAACAACAAGTTCCTCGATTATTCGCAAATCGACAAGGCGCCCGAAGAAAAAGCTAGAGGAATCACTATCTCTACTGCCCATGTTGAATACGAGACCGAGTATGTCACTTCTTCTGCTCAAAAACTATGGGTCTGGATATCAAGTTTCACAGAGTTTAAGTTTTGAATCGTATGATCGTCTGATGTTCCATTTCTTTGCATCAATTTAATCGATCTCAGAAACCGACATTACGCCCACGTTGATTGTCCAGGTCACGCGGATTACATCAAGAACATGATCACCGGTGCGGCTCAGATGGACGGAGCAATTCTATTAGTCTCGGCGACCGATGGCCAGATGCCACAAACGCGAGAACATCTCCTGTTAGCGCGCCAGATGGGGATCCAGAAGCTGGTGGTATATGTGAACAAGGTTGACCAAATCGATGATCCGGAGATGTTAGAGCTTGTGGAGATGGAGATGCGGGATCTCTTGACGAGTTACGGGTTCGATGGCGAGCAGACGCCGATCGTCAAGGGCTCGGCGCTCTGTGCACTCGAAGGGAAAAGCCCGGAGATCGGGGTGGAAAGCATCAAGCAATTGATGAAGGCCACCGATGAATGGCTAGACCAGCCTGTGCGAGACTTGGACAAGCCCTTCCTGATGCCGGTCGAGGACGTGTTTTCGATCCCCGGACGAGGGACCGTTGTGACTGGTCGAGTGGAACGAGGAACAGTGACCAAGGGAACCGAATTAGAATTGATCGGCCTCGGGATGAACCAGAAGGTAGCCTTGACCGGAATCGAGATGTTCAAGAAAGAGCTCGAGAGAGGCGAGGCGGGCGATAACATGGGCGCGCTATTACGAGGTCTCAAGCGAGAACAGATCAAGCGAGGGATGGTGCTTGCAGCGCCAGGTTCGATGAAAGCGGTGACCAAGTTCCTAGCGAGTATCTATGTCTTGACGAAGGATGAGGGGGGTCGTTACACACCCTTCATGAACAACTATCGTCCGCAATTGTTCCTCCGAACCAGTGATGTGACCGTCAGCTTGACCTTCCCCGAAGAGGTCAAAGACCGGCACGAAAAGCAAGTCTTCCCGGGCGACAACGTCGAAATGATCTGTGAATTGGTCCATCAAGTCGCCATCGAACCCGGATCTCGTTTCACTATCAGAGAGGGCGGGAAAACTGTGGGCACTGGCTTGGTCTCTCGAATCTTCTAACCCATTCTCACTTCTCTTCTTTTGCTCGTATAATCAAAAGATTTTATTCACATTTATATATATATCCCTTATACTTGCAATTTGTATGGCCTGGATATCAAGAAAAATCAACACATTACATGCTTTCTTTCTTTCTTTCTTTTTTCTTTTGCGATATCCATAAATCAAAATATTTGAAATAACTGAAACACCCATCACATCTGAAGAAACTGTTTTTGTTTTTTTTGTGGCTCATCATAATAAAAATTAGTACACTTGAGATCTTTGTTTCTGAGTCTTATCAATGTAGTTCTACGTGACATGCATTGTGATGAACAAAGCAGTGTCACATGTACTGAGAGGGAACCGGCTAAAAAAAGTGCAATAGTTGTCATGCTTTGACTCCATTTCTAATCATTCAAGCTATGTGCACACTCCTCAATGATTACTTCCAATCTGATAACCTGAATGAAGCTCTTTTTTCCTTGGCTTCCAGAAATTGCTGAGTAGAAAATGAGTCCATCTTAAGAGCATCCTCACCAGTGGCTAGTTGAACGCTGAGCCTAGCTTGCCTCTTGCAGAGTTACAGAGAGCCTTGGAGACCCCAGAGAAGAGCCCCTGCCTATACATACTCGTGGTACATAGACGAGGGACTTTCGGGTTACATAACCCAATCTATGTCAGGTGGAGAAACCAAGTCACACTACATGCTTCAGAGCAAAGGTGATTAAAGTTGCGGCAGATTTGTGCGATTTCTTGAGGAAACAAACTCAAAGTGTGCTTCGACTTGCGTGTCCAAAGATCTCGACTTTCTCTCGAATCTTTCGAGCCAGAAGATTGGGGAATCTTTGAGCGACCAGTCGTCTGCTGGATTCTCTGACTCTCTGACACCGGGAAGTTCTCCTACACTCGCTTCAAAAAAAAAAAACTTTCACACTTTCCACACGCGACAATTGCTTGTTGCGTCGACATTGTAATCATTCTTGATCCTTATGATGGTTATCTTAAGTCATGCTGAAGAGCTGCCGAACGTTCCCGGGCGACTGTACTTCCTTACCAGAGCTCACCAGCGGAGAAGCAACGGTAATAGATATACAACTTTTAAAAGCAACAATAATTGTTAAATTACCCTCACCATTCCACGAGATCCGACGACTATTTTACAAGCTGAGCCCAGAGATTGACTGCAGACTTTATATTTAAGAGAGCCCCGGTGTACGCGTGGTTAATGCTTGAAATACTTAGTATTTTTCTGGTTCGGGCTTATGTATAAATCAGTAATCATCCGGCCTTCGTGCAAGTTGGGAATCGATGGACGGCCATTTGCGGCCATGCAATCCACTCATGCGACTAAAATTACAGCTGAAGATCAAGCCAACTCTTCATGCAGGACATGTCGATCGTAAGTAAATATTAATCTTTAAAAGGCTCTAGTGTGATTCGGCATGTCTGATGGTTGAAAGAGCCCTTTTTCATGTTGTAATGGAGAATTGGGATAGATATATAAATCCATAGACGCCGACTTGCCCACACTGGAAAATGCACATCCATACTGGCACATTGGATGAAAATCCTCGCTGGCGCAAGCTTTCCTGGCAGTTTTGCACGACCCGGCATCGATTCGAGCTGCCCCATCGTCATATACCTATGCTGCTTCCATATTTGACGTATTCGAGGTGTAGGCTCTATTTGACCCTTGCAGACACTGTCGATCCTTCCCGGTTGACTATAAAAACCATCAATAACAAAGTTGGATTGGCTTGGACCCCAGCTAATCGTAGGATTTCGTCGATTAGGAATTGCAACTGTCCGATAGTCCCTGCTGTCGTCTTTTTGTGAATGCCATTCGCTCAAGTCAGACATCCAGTTATGCCTTTCACACAAGGTTTTCTTCGGAAGCCTGTATCGAAGAGGAGGATCCCAAGCAAGTTTGGACCATACGACCGATAACTCATAGTCCTATCAGGTGGCTCGGCGCTCATGAGGAGGAAATTCTGTCTTATGTTTCACGCAACTTCCCTACTTACCACTTTCCGCACTAAACTTGCAACTGCCCTTTATATGCCTTCCTTTCTTCGTCACAAGTTTCCCTGCAATCAGAAAGAAAGAGAAAGAACAAGAAAAAAAAGAAAAAAAGCACAAGGTTGTTCATATGTTCAAACTGAAATCTCTTTGAACTCTTGTAATTGTTGTGATTCCTATTAGTCCGAGCAAGCTAGTCTCCTTACTCGCCACTCTGATATATCGCCTTCTACACTGAAACAAAATACCTCGCTGACTTCATGTCCTCAGCTCAGTCGGTTACGCCTTAGTGCCCAATAACACTTCTAATTGCTATTTTCTAACAAAAAAAAACACCAAGCGAAATAATTACACAAAGTGTTTTTTTTTGGTGGATAGGATTTAACCGATACCGATTATCAAAATGTTAGGGCTCGCCTCCGATCATGCTCAAGCCGTGTGGCAAAATCTTCTCCTGGTCGCTTACGCCTCAACGATAGCTGCGATCCCCATGGGCGATGCTCTCTTGTTCAGCTTTACAGCCAAGAAACCGCTAGCGATTGGAGTGGCTAGGTGAGCAGCCCTTTGGATGGAGGGCAAGCTTTCAGAAGGAGCATTTCTTTTTTTTTTTTTACAGAATACGTGAGCCCACTAACTAAACTTTACGCATTTCTTCTAGGGCCGTATTTGTTTCATCATTGGGGGCCACGTTGACGATGGTGATTACGTTTGCGATTTGGTTGACCCTCGAAAGCATCTATCCTCAGCTGCACATCGACCATTTTTTCTATCAACTAATCGAGTCAAGGATACGGGAAAAGTCTTTCTATCGGATCCTCATGATTTATGTTCTCATGGAATCTATCATGATGTGCAGCACGGCCCTGGTCGGCGGCTTCCTGGCGTCAATCACACCGTTTGTGGGAGAGCAAAATCAAAACAAAACCAAGTTCACCTTTAGCAGTCTTTTGATGGACTTGCCATTGGGTCTCGCCACGATATCGTTCGTTCAAGTCTTGACGTGGTGCATGATTAGGTACCTTGATCGCTTCCGACCTGTGTCGGCAGGATTGCTTCAGGAGCAACAAGAAAGGATGATGATGATGATGAACAATCAAAGCGGCAGCACCCTCAAACAAAGCCGTCGAGTCACCTTCAACACAACCTCCGACACACTTATTGCGCCAAGATCCTCGGATGCCAGCCGGACTTCCTCGACTGCGCCAATCTTGGAAGAACAACCCCACGAAGATTCCCAGTCAATCACACGGATGGCTTCCTCATCCTCATCTACGACCTTACTTCCCCAAGACTCCAGCCACAATTCCCAGAGTTCTTACAACAAAAACAAAGACTCTGAGAATATCGCACCAGCCCACAATAATTCTCTTAAACCCCATCCTGCTGAGCCGCCACCCCTACAGCCGATCCTCAACACTCCAGCCGCCGCACGTACAAAAATCAACCGAAGGCCTTTTGGGCCTCATCTGAAGCCTGGAATGTACGCAATGCCAAGCTCAAACAATACACACCTTTCCCAACCTACGCCGGTGGCACTCAAAGGAGGGAACTCGAATAACAGATTCACCTCAGGAGCGTTGGGTCGTTATGCCTGGATGAGAAACCAAAACGGCGGTCGCGGGGAAAATGTTTCTTTAGCCCAAGAGGGGCCTCGGGGCGGCGGACTACCTTATTCGCGGCCTGGTGTACTAGGAAAATCCAACAAACCATTTGGCTCATCACCATATCAGAGAGTCTCTTTCAAGCCCACCAAAGACGAGGAACAGGAGGAACGAACATCGATCGAATCCAACGAATTTCTGAGCATGGAGAACGCCTCAAATGGGCACAGTCTAGAATCCCAGAACTCGAGGTCTCCTTATACCGAAAAGAAACCGATTCCGATCGAAGCCGATGTTGCCATGGCGGAGCAACAGGGCAATCAAACTGAATTCCTGGGAAGTGAATATTCCGACTCCGGGAACTCGGATTCCGAAGGCGAGGTGGATGAATGGGCTGAAACACAGTCGCAATTAGCTGAAGAGCCGCCAGAGAAGGCACGGAGAGGTCGTTTCTTTGGCTGGTAAGTTGGCAGACCTGTCTTTTAGCATTCTTGTTAGCCATCTTTTTCTGGTCATTTTCCATTGAGAATGTTTTTCATATCTTTCTCTGGATCGAGCTGAACTCCCCTGTTTTTTATCCCAATAGGTCGTTCACCGGACATTAAGAATGTTTATTTTAATCCGCCGCCAACTAACTAGAATCACAGGCCTGTTGATGAGCAAGTATCACCCAGAGAGGATGAAATTGAACGAGGATTCAAAGAAAAGCATCAGATCAATTTTATTTTTTCGCCCGAGATTGATTGTTTTTTATTATCATAGTAGTTGTATTAATACTTTAGCAAGTATACCTTTTGGAGATTGCACCAGAAGCCACGATTGATCCAATTGGCTTGAATAATTCCTTTCATTCCTAATATATCTTTTTTTTTGTTGTTATCCAATTTGTGTCTTTAAAAAGACTAATTCAAAATCACCAAATCTGGCACCCCTTGAAAGAAGATTTTCACTCCTTTATTAAATACAACAAAATCCATTTACTTGTTTTTCTTTTTTTTTTGGCTTTAGAGACTGCACATTTCTTCTTTTTTTTCCTGCTTTTCAAATAAAGATAAAAACAAAAACAAGCAAATCCAGAGGAAAATAAAATGCCAAAAACAATTGGAACAAGTGGAGCCAGGTCGCCGGTTTGGATAATGACAAACATAGCTATTCATTCCCTAAACTTCCTCTAAATATATATTGGATATAGTTTTGATCACAATTGACTCTAGTTTCCCCTTGATGTTGTGAAATTCATATTTTAGATTTGCAATTTTGCCAGCTCACTAGAGCATCTCCAACGCAGTAGGTAAATTAGGTCACTAAACCCAATTTTCCTGACCAACTCTCAAAAAACCTACCCGCTGTGGTCACAACACTGAAACAGATACAGTATCTGCCATGTATCACTCCATGTACCTGAACCCCAATAAAAAAAACTATCTTACCAATGTGCTTTTATTTGCAAAGAGATGCAACAAATTATATGTTTTTTGGCCAATCAGCTTTGCAGAATTCTCCATGATACACACAGTGCATTGTATCTGTTACAGCATTGGTGGTTGCTATATTGGGTGCTAAATTAAAAGAGAAAAAAAAACACAGCCCCCAGGTAGCTAGAGGGTTGCTGCAACTAGAAACTCCCTACAAGCCAAACTAGCAATCAGGAAGTGTGAAATCCCCTTCCAATCTGTGAAACTACACACCCTTATACCCCTCCAATATCACAACACAACTCATGGATTTTCCCTTTCTCACATTCTTGGGTTTGGCTGATATTCACCATAGGATACATTTCATGAGGATTTAGCTTCTCATTACCACTTTGTAGTGGTGTTCAGCTTGCCCTGATGAGGTAATTCTGGATCTCAGTTGCTAAAATCTCACATTTAGCAACCCAGATTTACATATCATGGTGGTTATGATATCAAATGATAAGTGGATTTCTATTAAATTTAGTGTAGTGCAGCAGAATTCAACTCTATCTCTGGGTCACATCATTTCTCACCACTGATTACTGTTTAAGATTCACATTAACCATAGCCAGGATTTCCCCAGCCATGGTGCTTTGCTGTTGTATTTACATGTTGTACACAAATATACTCTTTCTTTTTCTTCCTCCTCATGTATTTTCCCCACATGCTATTTACCTTGCCTTAATTATCCTCTAACCATAGTCTTAGAAATCAGGACACTAGTATTACCCTTATATATTTACCAGATATCATTGCCAGTTATATTTGCCAGCTATACTTTGCCAGTTATACATCCCCCTTGCCAGTTATAAATCCTCATTTGCCAGATTATCACCCTTTGCCGGTGCCATTCCTCATTTCCAGTGAACCCTTGCAAGTATTATCCCATCACACCTCATTGCTCCTCCTCACACCTAATTAGGTACTACATACACAAGCTCATCAGTAATAGTAGGCTAAGATAAAGTAGAAATCAGACACACCTTTATTATTCTTTTTCTTAGTGTTACACTCTTCCCATCAGCATTGTTCAGGAGGGAAGCCTCATCAGCACCTGTAGTCTCAGCTTACATTAGTACTAGTTTAGTTGCTCCTTGGTTGAGTAGTTCCACAGCGGGTACCCAGGTACCTGGGGCGGGTACCTGTGGGTGTTGATAATTTTTTGCAGGAAAGTAATCCCAGAAATATCACTCTTGTATTTCTGCATGACTAATTATATGACTGAAATTGATCTTTCTTCCTTCTACTCTTATTTTTTGTTTGTAAATTCATTTTTTTCTTATTACAATCCCTTCATGCATGACCAATCTCTTCCTCCTTTCTATATGTTCAAATCCCACATATATAATGATGAGCTGTATCATTTTCACCGCCACAGATTCCAGGTTGCATGTAATATATTTCTTATTTCTCCTCAATTAAATTGATGTTGATTAAAAGGACACTTATGATAAATATCAGGGACATCTGCACCTGCACCCAGCACCTGTTTCCAGGTACCTGCTTTGGAAAACAATTGCCTGCAAATGGGTGTTGGGTACCTGCTGAAATCTCTACTCAGGGCCCCAAAATGTGCCTTCTATGCTGCTCTAACACACAGCCAGTTAGTGGAAATTTGGCTCTTTAGCACTGTTAGCAGCCCTAAGCGCAGCATAGCAAAAATCCAGTAAGGAAATGCTTACACTACAGAATTTTGGTGCAAAAAAGTGTGGCTGTACTAATGTTTTTTGGGGAAAGAAATGTAGCATAGCAGCCATTTTTTGCTTATGAGTACTACACAAGCATCTGGAAGCCCATCCCAATCAGCCAAACACCTGTAATCCACCCAGGCGGTGCCATTTGGGTTCCAGCATGGGGGAAACTGAGCCTGTTTCATATCAAAACAATACACTTGGTATAACTGATGTGGTGAATGGTAAAGACCATGATAACCAACAGTTCTGGCTGTTTGGTCACAAGAATGTGACCATTCACTCACCTGAAATTTCATTGTATCATCAATTAAGGATATGATTCAAATTACCAACCTTTTTTGTGTATTGCACTTGCATGAGAATAATAAACACATAATCAGGATCTAGAGATATAACTCCTTACAAAATGTTGCAGACTATGACTATCCCTTTTCTTATGGCCTGTAAAGGGTTGTGCTTTATCAAAAAGTATCCCATGCACAAATAATTCTCTCAATAAAACCAATACAGATATATCTATTTTCTTTGGACAATAAATTGCATCATCATTGTAAAATATCATGTATCAAAATGTATCAGGCTCCTTTTGAAACTTTTATTTAAAAATTTTACATTTATCTTCAAGTATCAATATACATGTTTGAGGCCATACAAACACTGGCATAATGCTTGTCTGGGTTGAGATTATCCCAGTTGAACTAGGATTCAATGATTTTGACCTATGATTCATTGGTTGAATTTGAAATCAAACAATTTTACATACCATTTTAAATGGGATGAACTTAAACCAGCCAGTTATGCTGGCAGTTAAATCTTGGAGTGTAGTTAAGGAAATTCTGGATGGAGATATTTATTTTTAATTTCATTTGTAATTGAAAAAATGTTTCATGACAAGTAAAAACATGTAACTTTCAACTAAACAATTTTTGATACACAAATCACTTGAAAATATTGCACAATTGTCACAGTTTCAGGCAACAATGGGTCTTTACTTTACAGATATTGGTATTGTACCGTTACAGTATTTTTTTTGACTCAATAACCCTACGGGTTTTACCGCAATCCGTATCAGATTTTTCTTTACAATATCCCAGTTTGTGGCTTTTGTTTTATTTGCTTTTGATACGATAACTGAGATATTGGGATTTTTTTCTGTTACTGAGCAAATGGACCCATGAGCAATAACAAAGACGGAAAAACCTATTTTTTTCCCTGTCGTCTTCAGAACAAGACTGAATCTCAACAGCCAATTCGGAATTGGATGAACGTTCTGCCCCCACAGGATGTTTGTGAGGAGCCGGATGTGTTAATCTCACCCGCGAGTCTGATGATAGTGCCACCATGTTTGGTGCAATGACAAGAGATGAAGCTCTTGATGAGCGGTGTCGTTGAGTCTGAGAGTGATCAGTAGAATAGCCTTCAGTATTTTTACCATCAGAGGGGTCATTCTGAGTGGATTTTGGAGTTTGTGAGGCCATGCTGCTTCTAGTATCTGGGATAAGGGTCCTGGGGATGCTATCAGGGTTATTTCCCACATATAAGCAGGGGATAGCTCACTGAAGGCCTGCTGTCATCAACTTAGGGCTTTTTTATGCCTTTTGCCCCTAGTGGAGTTGATTATTGTGTTAACCAGGGGTAAAACGGAAACCTATAACTATATCTGTATGAAGCAACCAAAAAATGGGTGCCTCAATACTATACTAGTTGCTTGGGGCTTGGTCCTTTACTAGTACCGGTATTAGTAACGGGTGGTCAAGCATACATTTACTATAACAAAAGGGGCTGGATATCGTAGAGTACAGTAAAGACCCATTGTTGTTTCAGGTACATTCAAAACCTGTTTCACATACATAAATTAAGTTCACATGAATCTTTTGAGATTATAAAGAAACCTTTTAATTTGTCAATTGGCTCTTCTTAACGTCCCAGGTTTTCCCATCATCATCACTTGAACACCTTCTTGAAAACAAACACACCAAAAAATACAACACTTGGAGACATGTTCTTCACCAAGACCTTAGTTAGTTTACAAATCTTATGTTACTATAGTGTTTTAGCACTGCCAATTTTACATCCAAAACCTCTTCTTAAAAGATCAGAAGATATTTTTTCAAATGCATATCACCCCAGCACTATTATCAACAATGGAGGAATATCAAGCAATATTGAATGTATGTTCATCTTTCAAAATCTTCTCTTCTTTAAAATGGAGGCTCTTGAAAATCATAATTCTTCAATTCATTGCTTATCTGTGGTGATTCTCTTTGCAGCACCTGAGAATTTTGGAAAACCAAATTGTGCAGTGAAATTTCCTTTCCTCCTTTGCTGAAAATTAACAGCATATTTGAGAGAATTTAATTTTCACTTCTCAATTCTGAATTTCATTTCCTTTTAGGGACTGGAAAAATCAAAAAACATGAAGAAAAGATCAATGGTAAACCAGTAGAAATCAGCAAAGACCAAAAATCAGAGTTTTCAACTTCGAGTGGTGAAACTAGTCAGTTTTAATAATTCATTTACCTCTGAGCCTCCAGCACAAGAGCAGGATACTGAAGCCTGAAAAATAACCTTGATCAAATTATCTAGGGAATTTTGATGCTGCACAGGCATTATTTCTTGTTAATTCTTTTGATTCAAATCAATTAGGAATGATAATTGGACTTTTGCCTGAAGATCAATGGCTATGTTTTCAA